AGTCACAGTCAGAGAAACAGGACTACACTGAAAAACAGGCCGATCTCCAACAGCTATAAACAAAAGTGTTGATGGCAGCAGCACAGCTGATATTTCTCTCCAGGATGGAGTCACAGCCAAACAGGAACAGACCAGATTAAGCTACAATGAGAAAAACTGGAGACAGCATAACGTAAGAGATTGAACTAGCAGATTCTGCAGTCTATTGATCCCTCACTCATAAATACTTAACTCCTCCACCTAAAGCAGGAGCTTTCCTTCAAACGGGCTCGAATAGATTAGGGCTGCAACTAATGATTATTTCCCAAATTAATTTATCTGTCAATAATTTCTTTTGAATAATCAATTAATAATTGGATAGCCAAAAGTTCCTTAAATAAAAATTTGTATGAAATTAAACCAGGTGAAACTAAAACCTTTCCACTTGAGTTGTTCTGGATAGAGCATATTGATAGATTTATCAAAAGTGCAATATGTTTATGCATCTGCTTGGTGTGGGGTCTGAAGATTTTTCTCTAGTTAAAAATGAAAAACACATTTTTTGAATTTTTGGAACAATTTTTGATGGATATTTTCTTTTTCTATCTTTCTTTTAAAGAACATCTTATCCATTTGGCGTAAAAAAAACAACCTGTTAAACTTTTTAAGATTCCATGAATATGTAAGAAAAAAAAACCTAAAATGGCAATGAAGTGTTTTTTCTAAATATATTAATTTAGTCAAGACAAAGTGAAGCAGATAAGAAGGAAGCTATAAAGAAACCGCTTAATCGTATTATAGAACATTATTATGGATCATTATGTCCTCTAATGTCCATTTACCAGCTACAGAGGGAAGCAAATACAGAACATCTGCTCCTCTCCTGTCTTCAGTGCTGCTTAAGATCTTATTTTCTTTAACTAAGTAACATTAAAATGTGGTAGAGAGGGGAAGGGATAGCAGAACATGAGCAGTTTATAATACTGAAACAAACACAGCAGTCAATATGGTTCAGTTTTCAGAGCATCATCTTTTTTCCCCAACAAACAAATTTCAATCTTAAAAAAATTTATTCAAGCTGCAATTTTAGCAGACTTTTTGGGGGGCTTGGTTTGGTTTTCTTCTTCTCGATTTCTTACCTATAAATCTTCTAAACCAGTGTCCATCATCTCCTTTTCTTGGACGTTGTCGTGTATTATGGTGTAAATTCATTGTATAAATGCTCCTTTCTGAAGTATCAAATATAATAATGGAATAAGCATTCTAAATGTATATTCTCTGAAGAAGAATACAAAAAGAAGACAAAAGGGTTAAATTTGTTTTTGTTTTGTTTCTTACAGCTGTTTATGAATTTATGAATACTTTATTACCTTCTGTTTCATTTCATTTGGGTCTGATCACTGTTTGTGCTGTTGACTCAAAAATCAGATCAAAAGGCAGTGGATAGGTCCCCATTCTATCGCAGGGCAGAGACAGGGTAGGACATGCACACAGACACAATCACACCTAAGGCAATTTAGAGACGAAGTTAACCTAGCAGTCATGCTTCTGGACTTTGGGAGGAAGCTGTTAGGGATGGAACGGTTCACAAAATTCCACGGTTCGGTTTGGTTCATGATTTCGTGGTCACGGTTTTCGGTTCGGTATATGTTGATTGTTACATTGAAATCCCATAAAAATTAATGAAATTAATGAAAAAATCCCCCAAAATTAATGAATTGTAATTATTTTTAATGATCCGCGGAAACCCTGGATCATTTCTGCATGTTTTGCTGCTTTAAATTTAATCATCTGGCGCATGCTGTCTACGATGTCCAAGGAACTCAGAGTGGAGCGGACGGGAGCCACAGCAGAGGCTGTAGGCTTTGCTTTGCGCAGGCGGTCTGGAGCGCAGCTGGGCGGGGCGGAGCGGAGCGGAGCGCTGGCCGAGTATGTGGGATTTCAGGGTTAGCCTGACATGTTGGTCATGCTGCTGTTAGCATAAACAAAACGTGTTGCACAATGCTTCTACACTGTTGCACTTTTATCCACAACTTTCTTTCCGCCGCCATCGTAGGTCACTCTAAAGTCAAAGTGGTCCCATACAGCAGACCTATAAAGTGCTGCTGGCGCGTCTTCCAACTCCTGTTCTTTCCCACTCGCCAAACCCACACAATTCTCCACAACAACTGATTTTTTTCTGCTACACCCAGCTAAGCTGCTTCGCTTCTTCTTCTTCTTGTTTACTACTGGTGGTTGGCTTTGGTCGCAGTACTGCCACCTTCTGCTCTGGAGTGTAAACGCTTCACCTATGAGAAAAAGGAGCAGCGCATGAACCGAATGAAACACACGCAAACCGAACCGAGACAGTCGAACCGAACGGTTCGGACGGTTTTCATAAACCGTTCGTTCCATCCCTAGAAGCTGTAGACCCCAGAGAGAACCCACACATGCACAGAGAAAACATGCAAACTCCATGCAGAAAGATACTAGATTGTGACTAGACTTGAAACCCAGTCGGCCCCCGGCAGATGGCCGCTCAAACTGGGTCTGGTTCAGCTGGAGGTTTCTTCCTGTTAAAAGGGAGTTTTCCTCTCCACTGTAGCTACAAGCATACTTAGTGTGAGGGATTGCTGAAGAGTCAATGAGTTGATGCAATCAACTGGTTTTCCTTAGATAGAAAACTTTAAATCAATCTGACTGGATGATCTGGTGAACTCTAAAGTGCCTTGAGATGACATGTGTTGTGAATTGGCGCTATAGAAATAAACTGAATTGAAATTGAGTGTGACTCAAACCCAGAAACGTCTTGCTGCAAGTCAACAGTGCTACAAACTGTGCCACCATACAGTGTCCTTCTGGTATCAGGTTTCGTTACAGTAAATTTTAATTGTTTAAGTTGTCTGTCCTTTTACAGATGGATAAGAATAAAAGAAACAGATAGGAAATATAGGAAAGGAAAAAACCTGCAACCGTCTTTATCAAAATATGTTAAAGGAA